ACGTACATGTAGTAGCTTGTGGATGCGCCTCGCCTTATGCACGGTGGCGGTAATCTTAACGGGGTCGCATTCTGGTAGATACAGACCCGCAAAAACATGCCATCAACAACACCAGCTTTGAATTAGCTTGCTCCCCACCACGTTGCCACGCCGCGCGCTCGACCATGTCTGCTGTCGAAAGCGCTTTCCTCTTCCCCTCTTACGCGCAAGTATTGGGTATGGCTTGATGTTGTGGATTATCGTTTGCTTCTATCCCTTCTACATTGCCATTTCCATTCATATACAAGTTAAATATACGATTCGAACATAGTTTTTAGTACACTGCCTAGTTACCTCATTGTTTTCTTCTTACTAAGCTATAGCATCTTTCTGGGCAGCACCTGGACAATCCTAAATATCACCGCTCATTATTACCGAATCATCGACCCTTCTCTATTGTGTCTTGCCCCTCCAGTCATCCTAGACTATCCGGCGCAGCTCGTCAGCGTCCCTTGCGCGCGCAATGGCTGTGCAAGGCGGCGGGGGAGGGACTGGAGGAGAGGACGTGTATGCTACAGTTCGTCCATCACTACTATCATGACAAAAGTCGCATTCGCGCCAACAACTGTCTGACCACGTGCCTTACTAGCTGCTGTTGACCGACACATATTTACCTGGTAGGATCTCCGACCTCAGTTGACTTGCAATACAACTTCTGATGCCGTATATCTAGGTGCGCTGGTCCTAGCGCAATCTCTACGCGATGCCGCTACGACAAAGAAGCTGGTCGCGCTAGTCACTCTCGATACTGTCTCTGCCGAAGCCATTACTGAGCTCAAGGTGAGCTCGTCATAATGATAAGCCGACAGCTGAGTATCACGCTGATCCCGTTCGCCAGTCCGTCTATCATTATGTTATTCCCGTGCCTCGAGTCCGCAACGCGCGGCCGGCCAATTTGCAGCTGATGAACCGAACCGATCTACACTCTGCCTTCACCAAGATCAACCTTTGGAACCAGACTCAGTTTCGCAAGATCGTATACATAGACGCCGACGTCGTCGCTTATCGAGCCCCTGACGAGCTCTTCGACATCGCGCATCCTTTCTCGGCAGCCCCAGACATCGGATGGCCCGACCTATTCAACACGGGTGTCATGGTTCTGACCCCCAATATGGGCGACTATTATGCTATGACGGCTATGGCTGAACGGGGCATATCGTTCGACGGAGCCGACCAGGGCCTTATAAACACGCATTTTCGAAACAATTATAATCGTATAAGTTTTACATACAACGTTACCCCGTCTGCTCATTACCAGTACATACCCGCCTACCGCCATTTCCAGTCAAGCATCAATATGGTACATTTCATCGGTCCAGACAAGCCGTGGTTCAAGGGGCGGCATGCGAGCATCGGAAGCTCGTCATTTGACGAGATGACGGGCAGATGGTGGGCAGTCTACGATCGGCATTATCGGGCAGCCGTAAGTCGCCCTTCACGCTTTGAAATCACAAATTGGACATCCTACTAACTCTTTCCAAGTCGCCGCAGCTCACGTCCTTAGCATCTACCCAACCTCCTGGTGTAATGCCGGCTACCAGGCCCGTTCCGGAACTCGTCCAGTACCTAACCAAGGGAGAATACCAGCCCAGGAGCTCGCATATAAAGCCAATCAGTAAGCAACATAGCGATGAGCATCGTGGCCATGAGCATTACGAGAATCCCCCAACAACTCGATCTCAAGTACAGCACCATCACCATGACGCTTCCAGCTCTGTAGTGCACAACCTGCACCACCACCCACATAATAATGCTCAACATCATGATATTCATATCCACCAGGCGCCCTCGCCCCGAGCCAGCACGCAGCAGCATGAGCCCTCTAGTTTTGTTTCTAGCGATGTGATTTCATCATTAAGAAATAACGAGGACAGTCAAGCTAAGGCTAGCGAAGAGCAGATTCGCGCTCAGGGAATGCCTCCACCCCCTCATGAGGAAGAGCAGAAGCCCCCGCCATTCCAGCCCCCAATGTCGAGTTGGGACGCTCAAAGGTAGACTTTTTCCGTCCAGGAGACAGGACGTATCAGTTGCTAACAGTATGATAGACAGCCGCCTCCACCAGAGTCGAAGCCCGAGGCTATGAATTTCCCCGCTACAATATATGAAATGTCGAAAAGCACAGCCCCTTTTATCCCTCCTCAGCATTACCCAAGCCCTCCAAAAGGTATGTGGTACGATGTTCCGAAGGAAGCCCCAGCTGCTCCCTCAGAACCGTTGAAGCATATTTTTCCTTGGGAGGCCAACCGACCTAAACCGTCTCGTATATTCGTCGACGTGGTGCCTCAAGTTTCTCAATATGTTAGGACGCGTGATCCAGACGCGCCTTCTGGTGAGCAACAGCATGTCCTCGGGGCAGAACCAAGGGTTGGGTCTTCCGTAACAGAAAGTCCTACAGTGGAACAAAAGAGCGAGCCGGTAACACCCATCACCCCTACCATCCAAATCTCGCCGGTTGATCCATGGACTACATACTCGCGGTCTAATGCATGGGATGAAGTACCGGAAATCGAGCGATATGTCGATTCCATACAGAAGCATCAAAGGTCAAGGAGTCGTAAATTCCCTGGCACAATTAATTTGCCGAGTCCCGGTGAAAGCGCAGATGACATAACACGGCCACGGCGAGGGAGCAAGCTAACCGACTTCCCAAGTGAAGTTGAGCGTCCCAGCCTGCCTGTTACACCTGCGCCTATCCATCGGTCAAACTTTTGGGGTGGCGGTCCGAACACCAGCCAAGGCGACAACGGCCCGCTACTGCCTTCCGCAGTGGGTGTTCCCGGTCAGAGCGATTGGGTATGTGTGCATGGCCGGAGGTGGACTGCCTCAGACTGTCGTTGCTAACTCACTAACGCCCTGCGCGTTTCACAAGGATCCCGTGGCACAGCTTCAAAAGTTAGCTACGCAGCATAGCGAAGAACTTCTAAAAAGGCTTGATGGTGGTGGCCGAGATAGCAGCGAACTACCGCCTCGGCCCGTGCCTTCGGGTTCTGAGGCGCTGGTATCGCCGACTTATGTGGCGCAGTCAGCCCAAGTACTGAGCCCTCAACCGGTAAAAGGAAATGTAAACTCAAGTTCTGTGCTCGGCCTCATAACAGATGAGGAGATGACACCTCGGATTACTGCTCCCTTGCTTCTGGGGGAGGAGGATATATTAAGCGAACCAGTTCCTACTGGCGAGGGATCGACTTCGGAGCGAGAGTCCCCGTACTCATCAACAGCGTCCTAGCAGCACCTGTTATGTTTGGAGCTACTACTTCTCATTTTACTGATCTCGCTTCATCCAATCAGTGTGTTTCCACTCCCCCAGGGGCATTCTAAAGTGCAGGCGGTATTGTGAAGGAGAAAATGTGAGTGTTGGTTTGGACAACGATGACACCCACGAGGGAAATGCTACGGAGAGTTCGTAAGTGATACTGGAAGTTATAGAGTATACAGTGGAAGACCCATACTCATATCCCATTATTGCTCTGCCTTCTCGCAACGGGGAATGCGCCCACCAGGCCGACAACATCCATACAAGAGCATTAATTCTTCTCCCGGGGTTTCATGTCCTTGTTCTCGTTTTGAAATTTCTGTTGTTGAGATTCGCCTCATCCAAACAAATATTATAACTCGGTATCTCTATACTGTTTTCTCTTTGTCTACTTCAATGCATTTTCGGGTGCCTACTTTTTCTTATATATGGCTAATTAGCATATTGCAGTGTGAGCGATATGATTTATGCGGCACATCATATCATGGAGGTATTTTGTTTTACGTCATGTGGTTTAGGATAAAGAGGAAAACTTGATCTTTCTCGCCTGTTGTTTTCGTTGCACTACTTATGTGTCCGTCATCTTTTTTTTATGTCATGTTATTTGATGACTTGACTATATAATACGTATGTATGTATGTGTATGTTGGCTATATATTTATCTTGGTGATACTACCTACTTCCTGAACCTTATCTCCGTATCTTGTGGGCGATGGCTACATGTCGTAAGTCTGTTTATAGAGCTTCTTGGTGAGTATTAGTTTGGTCAGATGTGAATGAATGCTGAGTTCTATGCAGAACGCCGAACTGTCTGTCTGTCTATCTGTCTAGAAACTATCGTGTCTACTCATGGATACATATCTGAACGCTTTCTCCTTTAGAAAGAAAAGGAAAAGTATGAAAGAGCATTAGATCAAGACCAGTTTACTCTAACTTCGGGCCGTGTAGCTTGAACTATTCTCTAACGCCGACTCTAAATTATTCTTCTCTGAGCCGGAGATGTTTGTTCTATTATCTTCTTACGTTGCCTGAGGCGAGTGACGACGTACTATTTGGTCATGATGACATCAGCTTCTCTTCCCTTCGCCCTTTTCCTGCCTTCCTCCTTCTTTTCCCCCCATGCTTTATATGACTGTTGTACGCCGTTGATCTCGCGCACCGGGAGGCTTTTCTTAGAGGGCGTAGATTATGTTAATATACTCGTGAAGTTTTATACTTGGGAGCCACGGGGTGTCTAGCGAGAGGACGAAACAATGGTTATATAGAGTTTTTCAAGACACGATCTCCAGTGGTCACACTTTCACTAAGAGTATCAGTAGCTGGCCCCCATTTCCTTGCCATAGTCATGCCCAATCTAAATACTCAAGCAATTGTCAATTCGTTTAACCACTGAGTATCTGTCTGAATCTTCTTGAAGAGCAGCTATAGGGATGAATAAAGCCCTATCATTGTTGCGTGAAGGGGCCCTCGTAGGCCATTTCTGACTGAGTATATACATACTGTGCTTTATTCTTCATTGAAGTGATGCCATAACGCCGTCATTCCAGTGTTGTTGTCCTTACCGCAACTTACAACACCATTCATTCTAAACCTTTTTTGACCTGCAGTAACACCATCTCTTTAAGAAATAAAAAGCAAAATGGTGGACAAACAGAAGGTATTATTCCTCCTCGTGTCATGAGGATTTGTGGAATAAAACATAAAAAATTGACCTCGCTGGGGGTCGAACCCAGAATCTCCTGATTCCGTGTAAGATTCTCGTTGAATCATCACTCGTAGTCAGACGCCTTGCCATTGGGCCACGAGGCCGTGGTTCTTGGAGTTGGTCGAGTCCAAACAGTACTCAAGTAGCAAAAACATGTTTGCGGAGTCGGATTACCTGGTTTTGTTAGTGCGTGTTGTGTGGTTCTCTAGCGTGAGGGTCTTCGGAACTTTAAATCACGTGGAATAGAGAAAACGACAACTAACTACTGCTCTATGGACTAGCAATACAAAACTAGGTGCACATTCATTTGGACTAATCGCACTAGCATGAATGATGGTGCAAGTTGGCTATTTACAATTATATGACATACTTAGCTTAGACGAAAACAACAAGGGGAAGAAAGGAATAGGTAGGAGGGTGGGAGAAATCAGAAGGAATTGTGGCCACTATATGGTGAAGCCCGAGCCTCACGGGGACTTGGGAAAAGGCGTGGTTGCTCTCTCAAGTCACCTGGCAGATAGATTTCATTATCTGGGTCAGACAGCCAAATCATACTGCGGGAGACTGAAGTTCAGCTAGACCACCCCCTTCTCCGAACTTAGCTGGAGCAGTACGACTTCCTCGTGAGATCGATGGAAGCTACTCCTGCGTCGAAAGGTCGTATCAGCTATCAAGACCGCACTTTATGATAATCGCTGCAGCTCATAGTTAAGTGGGCAGATGATCCCGTAAAACAGGCAGCGATGTTTTTCAACGCATTTACTTTCGGCATTAAACAATCCCGGGCCCATATTTGCAGTGCCTTGGAAAGCTACAATACAATACACAAGTCTTATAGGACCGTGGTACTTTTCATGGTTGGTACATACAGGTGAGGATGAGTCAAGTATGGGAACGGAAGTAGCCTAAGGTCATAGATCTACCGTTAGGGCGGCGCGAACTCAGATTTAAGCTCAACTTCGCGCCGTAGATCTGAATAATTACCAAATGTATGCTAATCGGCCCGTTTCTAAGGGCCTCCAGGGTTCTTAATAGAACCGCTGATGAGCCGGCGATGTCTAGTCTGATATATAATAACAATTCAAGACTTTCGGCGATGTCTTCATTTGCCAATTTTTCGCGAATAGCATATGTTTTACAATAGCGAGATTTCGTGTAGATTCAACATCTGTGGTCAGGTTGACTTCCGGTTTGGGTAATTTGCTCGGTTATTATTGGACAGCCGCAGGGCACTATACTATACCTGGGTGTAGTATAGCACATTATCCATCTCCTAGCAAAATATATCATAGAGAAACCGAGAAATACAATTCAAGGCTATCTCGCTTTCCGGAAAGGCCTACTTCCGATGAGCAGCACGTGAGAAAGGTATAATCAAATTAAGGATTTAACTCTCTATTCTCTCAGCAACGACTCTGCTCGGATCCTCTTGAACTAAGCATCCCTGTGGTCACTAGCAGTCGTTGATCGATAGTCTAGATAGATGTTTCTAGTCAAGCACTAAAGTTCCTACTTAAATTAGTCGGTGCTTGTTTAGCCCAAGCTTTCATCACGCCTAATAGAACCGGAGAGAGTCATAGCCGGGTTTCTGCGAAGCTTCCGATGTGCAGCGTCAGGTGTTCTAGAAAAGTGAACTTGTGCTCATATGGACGGGCTTCCTGGAGGAGTAGAGACAATAGTTTCGCTGCTAAGCAGTATTACTTACTAGTGTAGTCTTCACGTTATCAGAACTACGAGCACTTGGTGCGAGAAGAACGCAACTTACGACCCTGAATCTAATCTGGTTATATCGGCTATTCTGGTGGTTTGAATGGAAGTCACTATGGTTGACAAAGTTGCACAGTAGGAGTCCTACAATGAAATACACTAGTAAGCGATGGCCTGGTCGTCTTCTTGAGAGACAAGCATGTCACAAACATAATCGTGTTTAGTAGAAAGCCAGCCCTAACCGAATTCAAAATTGAGTGTTTATTATAGAGCCATGAATATCGGGCACGAGTATTATAGATAAGGTCTATCTTTTTGAAGCAGGATGTCACCGATATTCTTAGCTACTACTTTGTCCAGAGTAACCGAGATTGCGTCGAAAAAGGGGATTGTGCCCAGATATAATACAATCTGTCGGCCTTTAATGAGCTGAGGTTATGAATTAATTATAGGTCTAGCACGAATCCGTGTTCTTAGCGAGCAACAGGTATGAGGCCGATATATCTGGATTTCCTGAACCACTCCACCAAGGAATTTAAATCCAACTATATAGAAAATTCTTGGCAAATGTTCTCATGGTTTACAAAGACATCGTACTTGACTACATACGAACACTAGGTTAATCACATGGTGTAGTCCTGTAAACTAAATATCTTGAAATGTATGCTTGACATCCTCGTCTTAGCTATATCAGACTTGCAGTTTCAATCCTACAAGTTGTCCAGATGCGGTAAAACTTAGCCTGCGTGGGTTTAGTACGGGAGCTCGTGAATACATACAACCTGCGTTCTAATATATAACTTAAGAAAGTCCTAATGACTCACCAACGTGATATATTTCAATTGTTGAAGGTATAATAGACCGCGAGAAACAGCTGCGAGCCAGCCGCTTACTAGAGTTATCGTCACGTCCTTTTACTAAAGACACATGTTGAACAATGTGTTAACTACCATCGTTTGTGTAAACAAAATTGGCAGAACTTAGCAAATACGTTTATATAGCCTCGTCATTGCCGTTCATAATGCAAAATAAAACAGGAAATTATAAGCGTGTTTGCCTCCAAAGTTTCACCTGTTCACCCGAATACAACACTGTGTTCATGCATAATGGGGGATCAACTGGGGATCAACATGCACTCGAAGCTGGATGAGTTACACTACACAGCCTGCATCAAAGCATCATATCAGATTCTCGGCGCATATACTCCCCCTTGAATTAGGTGTAATAGTTTGCTTTCTATGCAGTCAGTGAATTACTAGGTGCTGGATGGTGGTCTGATGTCATACTTTATACATCTTGTGACTTAGTTATGCAACCTTGAGAAATGCGACCTGGCGCCTATAGAAGTACTACGAGCCGCCCACATATCTGATATAACATTACTCGCAAGAATCCAATACGTACCTAGTAGGTATTACTAGATTTGGTACTGCTGGGTGCAGAATCTTACTTGGATATATTTAGTAAGTCGCTCCTTCGAAAGAAGATGAGTGAGCCAGCTAAGTAATTAGTGTACTATGAGAATATGCATAATTGCGCCAATAACGGTCGGCGGTTAACGGTTTTCTGCCAATCCGCCAGTTATTTGAACATGTGCGGGTTTCCGTACACATGAATTGCTTTTTTTAGTCCCCTAACGCCTACTAAAGCAACTGTTTTTATAGGGCATATAGTAGACCTACCTAGGTGCTTCGAATATTGAACCCTTGGGTTAACTTGGGCTGCAAAAACTTTTGGATGTACAAGTAACACTAAAACATCTAGCAACATACCAAGGGAGGATATGTACCTATGCGTAGTATTATACCTATACGCTAATGGTCGCAACAATGTAATTAATACGTAAACCTTTATAAAAAAAAATAGCTGTTACGACTACCGACGTATGGACAACCCCGCGGTCGTGGTTACGTGCTTGGAGGTGGTTATATACGTACGAAGCCCTGGATATTCCACTTTGGGGTATTGCCGGATCTTTTGATCTATTGCCGCAGTGGTATGTAACCCTTTGATGTGACCGACATTTTAAGCCGCAACCTTATAATTATGACATATCATGAGCAAGAAGCTATGGTCCGTCTTGTACCATCGCTTTAACAATATTGTTATAACTACACACACACTAGGACGACCTAAAATAGGCTCTGAGGCTTAAAATACGCGTAATCTCTACTATCACGGCTTTTTCTTGGTGTTGCAACCGCCACTAACCATGACCTCCCAAAATAACGGCCTTGAGGCTCTTGCTGGTGCCCTAGAGCGTACTCGGCGTTATATATATGGTGTTGCGAAGGCACATGAGGCCCCAGGTACGGCAGTAGTGGTGGAGGCATAGCCATCACCGCCGGCGGTGGCATTCCCGTCAACAGGCCGGATGTAGCCACTTAATTGGATACGAAAATTGAAACGATGACAAGTATGTGGTGAGCTATACATCCCTGCTCTTGTCTCCGCCTAATTTGTGTAGCCAGAAAGGGTGGCACAAATAGGTAGGTGGCGGATTGGCGGAAATCTTTGTAATCGCGCACCATATTACTAATGAGGTACCTTGCTAACTGAATTGCGCAACACATCTTACGAATTTGAATGTTTTTCGAATTCGAAACATGAACCCCTACTTTATGAATGAATCATGTTCATTTGATATTCGGTAGCGAAATTGCTCTACAGTGACGTAGGTGTGCCTTGTAGGGTAAGTCCGTGGTCGGACGCTCTCCGTCACGGAAGAATGCTACAGTGGCGTGTTCCGTGGCTGGCTGGCGGACCGGAGAGCTAGGAGGTTATCTTATGCAGGTAATGTTTCCGTGCGGCGGTGAGGTCTGGTGTAAGTGCCCAATAAGACCCGTGAGCCTGGGACTGTTGAGGTCGCCGCACAGACACAGAGCTGCTAGACCTGGTTACGGATCCCGTAATCAGCTAAGGCGATGCTTATAATTGCCCGTGCACAAGAAATATGCGTAAGCTGCCTGCACGGAACACTCACTGCATGTGGCAGACAGAGCCGACCAAACTAACTACCTAAAGAGGAGATTCTATCTACTCGGATCTCGTGCTTGCTTAAGTACATAGAAAATAGGCCGGTATGATGCTTTCATCTACCTATTGAAGGTTCTAAGGCGTGGATCAACATTAAGTTTCATTAGTCGGAGTTAATACGTATAATGTAGTGAGTGATGACTTCAAGTCCGGAGTCTCTGTGGTCCTTTGGTGGATAACTGAGCCGCCACCTGGGCACTTCCCCGCATGCGTAATGCCGATGCGGTAAGTATAGGGGTATCACGGTTACATTGAATTAGCCACATTTGATGCGACGCGTAGGGACTCCGTTCTCGTCCTGGGTCGTATTAGAACTGGATGTGCCGGCTGCAAAGAGGTTAGGTTCGGATGGGATATTCCA